GTACAACCAACTGATTTACCAGTTATTACATGTACAAACAACTGATTTACCAGTTACTACATGTACAAACAACTGATTTACCAGTTATTACATGTACAACCAAAACATCATTTTGTGTTATGTATTATCCTAGTGCTGATGAATTCCTTTCATTTACAAAGATGAGCAGTAACAGTACTGGTACATACCATAGAATGTCCATATGAAGTCCTTCTGTCATGGTGTTTACCCGTTTGAGCTGCTGCCACCACGTAACACTGTGTCTCTATTGCACGACTTCTAAGAAGAATCTATCTCAAGCACAGATACAATTCACAATTATTAACAATCAGAAAGGAATTCAGGAAGAGAAGATCAAAATCAAATCCAATTTGGCTTCTAGAAAAATGGTCAAAATTAGCATTGTTACTCAGGCGTCTATCATGAGAAATATCACAAAATATTGCTTGGCGACTCATTATTTATACTCCTTATAATCCTTATATTGTTTAAAACATTTAAAGAGTATAATATAGTCATGCAGTTTTTCAGTACAATATTATTTTTTCACTATATACAATTGTCTCCCATAATGCATTGTAAAAATGTGCATTAACATGCTTAGTAGTGCTAAATTTAAATTTGTGTTAGACTGCCTTATCCATGTCTCACCTCCCAGTGTGCTGCACCAGTTGTAAAAGTAAACGCTGAGGGAAACGTCAGTATCTCTGCACCTTGCTCTGCCAGTGCTAGTGACATCTCTGGAAATCTTAAATCATAGCACTATTAAATCAAGGAACTAGTAAAACACTCAAGAATCACGAGTCAAAACAGATATTACACGAGTCAAAGGTAATATTATGATACAAGTCAAAACTATGATTTATTTTTAAGTTTACTTGACTCTGTAAAAAATCACCAACATAACTTGCCATTTGTTAGACAATTACGTTATAGATTCTATCTGATTTAATTTTATCTTAATAATTAAGCAATCAAATGATCAAAATGGCTATGCTGTCTTTATTGGCTGTCCTCCTCAAAACAAACTGTTCTGTATGATGACATATTTGCCATGATTATTAGTCTTGCCACAAAATTCATGCCATATCGCAACCATGATATCTTAATTATTCGAGTTTTGCCATGGCAATTACTATAATTGTTGTCTTCTTTACACAAATCTCATGGAGATCAACCCATAGACTCTATATAATTAAGTATCAACAAAATTAAGTAGGTAATTTTCAAGAATTAAAAAATAACATTTTTCACCAAAAATAAAAAAAACATTCACTTAATTATAGAGCATTGAAGATATCATCACAAAATTAACAAATCTGTCTGCGGCCTACCTGTGGTATCTACAAAGCAAGTATCAAAGCAATCGGTTTGTAGTTTTCAAGAAAAAAGATGAAATTGTAACAACAAACGAACAATCACCTACAGTATATGAACATCTACGCTCTGTCACCTACAATGACAGCAGAGTTAATGAGTACCGGTAGGTGTCTTTAACTCAAATATGAGTATAGTCCTTTAACGAACAATGGTCCTCCCACAGCTCATATAAATAATGTATTTTAGATACATTGTTTGACGCTACGAGTCCAATAACCAAACAGAACCATCACCATGACAACCATCACCCTTTAACTCTACATACATATGTGTCCTTAACTCAAGCATAAAAATATTAATGTGTGCCTTTAACTATACAAAGATACAGTAGCCAAACCAACTTTTCCCAATGGAGTAGTAACTGGCGGAACAATCCTGCTTCCAGGAATGGTGTAGTCACTTTCCTTGAGCCTGACATGGCCTTTTATGTCTACATCAAATAAATGTGTTTTGTTATATTTGGCTACAATGTCACCTGTGTTATTAATGATCACATGGCAATTGTTTATTCTGCTTTCCTCATCTTGGCTCACATCCTAGGATTAAACAAAACAAAATGAAACATATTTGAAAAATGTTAATTTGGTGGAAATAAAAAGTCTCTCCTTAATAACAAAATATCTAAATTATACAATGAATGCAAAACATAACAAAATATGAACTCTCATTAATACGTCAGTATTTTTCCCTTGTGAGGTACATGTATGCCGGCTAAATAAATTCCAAAATTAAATTATGAACTCTGCCTATTGATCTGATACATTTTTTTTTTAAATATTTCTTTGACAATACATTTTGTCCTGTTAGGTTTATTAGAAACTTACTTTATGATGCATACCTCCTAAAGACAACCACATGTTGTGTTGTTTGGCCAATGATTTCATCGTTGTTATCACATGGCCATCTATCGGTTCAGCCATATCAATTGACTTCTGTCTGCTATCAGCAATGTAGTCAAACCCCTCCGGTAGAAAAGCCATCTGTGAATCATTATGTGACCAGAAAACAAGTTTTAAGAATTTCTTGGAAAAATCTAGATTTGTTTTGTTTTTTCTGATGCTTTTTTTTTAAAGTTTAAAGGTAATAGCTGCATGGTTCCCTTAAAGAAAAAGTCAAGTCTAACTACATAATACTCCCAGATGAAAGAGCTCGGCAAATATAAGAACATCCTTTTCATATCACTTTTCATTCTCTAGATATTTAACTTTTCATTAATTCATGTAGTCCACTATCTCGATTCTTCGACAAAGGATTATGGGTAAAGTATGACATCATATCCACTGTTGTCAGAAATTGAGAAAGTGATTTCATCTATAACTTCAAAAGTTGAACTTGGCTGAAATTGGCTGAAAGTTTAGAACATGGTAGCATGCATGTTCTGGTTCTAAACATGCATATAAAAATAGTTGTCATGACAACATTTTTGTGTTTTTCTACCAAATTCTCAAATTCATACAATTTATCAATATGAATAGGTTACATGGATGATATATAACCTGTTGAAAATAAAAAGAGGACAAAAAAGTGTCATTCTACTTTTAACGATTGAAATAATGATTTTTATTGTTTTTACATTTTTGGCATTATCTTCACTTTATGTGTATTTGTAACATTCTAAATTCCATTACTATAATTATATACACGAGTAATATGCACACTGAAACTTTGAAAAAATTTGCATCAGTATTTCTCACGTTACAGATGAATACATTCTCTCAATTTTTCACAACAGTGGATATGATGTCACACTTCACCCATAATCCTTTGCTAGAGAATCAAGATGGCGGACTACATAATACTGATGAGAAGTTGAATATCTAGAGAATATAAAGTGATATAAAAGAACTGTAAATTGCATTCTCCTATCTTTGTGAAGGATCTTTCTTTAGGGAGCATTATGTTGTTTTGCTTGACTTCCCCTTTAACAGTGAAAAATCATTATCCTTTCCAAACTCCATAATTTTTTCCACCAAAATTTAAGTGAAACATTTTTACACACTTGTTGGTACTGTATGTTAATTTTGGGCCAAATAAACTAGGGTACTGTCCATCACCCACAACATGTATTTTTTTTTAATATGAAATTATGCAGGTTTAATTATTTTGTAAAAGCTACATGACAAGTTAACCTCGAATTTCAAAGTATGTAAAATTCACAACATAGTTCAATTTAAAGTGCACTTGTTTTATAATGTTATTGATTAAAAATGATTAACAGAGAAAGGTTAGGGTAGCCACCGTCCCTCGTGTTGAGGGACGGTGACTCAGGGCTAATTTGGTTTAAACCTTGAGCTATATTTAGTCAAGCTAAAAAACTTTGAACTGCGTAGTATGCTTACCAAATTTCGTTTTAGTGACCATTTTTTCAACAAAAAAACTCCTTAAACAACAGGGTTTGTGACATGTGTAACAAAGTCAGGAAGCAGCCTATATCCTACTTGACATTTTAATGCCTGCTGTCAGTATAATATTAACTTTTACTTTTTTTTTTCAGTTATGACAAATTTTTCTTGAACCTATTTTTCATTTAATATTTTAGTAATCTTACATTATTTAGTATTTTAGTGATTTTGTATTATTTAGTAATTTCGTGATTGTATTTTTTATTATCTAGCATATTGTTTTCTCTTTTTTTTCTTGTACTGTGTGACCATTTTCTTTTCCTCCAGGGATTGTGTAAAAGTCAATAAGTAAATACAAATATTTAAACATTTTTTGTTTTCTATCTCGGAAACTGTAGACTCAAGCAAATGAGTTTGCAATTTTATCATAGTTGTACAACAGTCCTGACAATTTCCAAAAGAACTATCATGCTACCCCACCGTCCCTCAACACCCGGTTAAATTGATGACAACAATTGCACACTTAACCTTTTCACCACAAGTTTTCATAGCATTCGTTGTCACTGCATCCTAGCGAACATGGTACATTTGTGTTGAGCATGTTCTAAAGCAGGATTTTGAACAGTATCACATTTTAGGTATTCTAGATAAAAAATAAGTCATTCAGGTTCTGATATAAACAACTTGCAAATGCTTTAACTGCTGATTCCAATTCCTGGCTCATTTGACAACATACATGAGTCCCAATACTTCCATAAACCTATCAAACATTATCCTCAGAGTGGAAATTTGAATTTTTTACATACATTGTACTTTTTATTTGCACCATCAAATATTTTATATTATAGTCCTACACCCCAATAAAAATAATCTCAGAGTGCAAAGTTTTATACATACTATTTCATATTCTATTTCCGAGACCCGAATGAAATTGACCTCAAACACTTTGTATTTATTATTATTTCAGGTGACTTTGATTGGGATTCAGATGAAGATCTGCTGCCCTCCAAAGATCAAAAATAATCACCGTCCCTCAAAGGTGTTGAGGGACGGTGCCTGAGT